TTATTTGTGTTGTAACTTTCTATATATAATTCCTCTTTTAAGTTCTTATACTAGGGAGACAATATGATATTTACAGATGTGGGTCTGGTTTATTTAACTTATAATAATATCTTCAAGTGGCATCCACTTAAATATGAAGGCTTCGAGTTTGTCGTTCTTTATAGCTGAGTTATACTCCATTACATAAAAGTACCACATCTTTTTCAACCATGTGACGGGCATCTTGGTTGTTTCCAAGATCTGGCTATCACAAATTGTGCTGCTATAAACATAGGTATGCATGTATCATTATGATATGATGCATTCAGTTCTTCTGGGAAAATTCCCAGTAGGGGTGTAGCAAGCTTGAATGGGATTTCCAGTCCTAGCTTCTTAAGGAGTCTCCACACTGACTTCCCTAACAGTTGCACCAGTCTACACTCCCACCAACAGTGGAGAAGGGTTCCCCTTTCCCCACAGCCTCTCTAACATTTGTTGTTGGTTGATCTTTTATGATAGCCATTCTTTCTGGGGTGAGAACAAGTAGATTCAAATGCTGTTGGTAATCACACCAGTTTATTCCAGTAGCCTTTTTTAATACTTTCCTGCACTATTTCTTTTCCTGAAGATTAGTTTTAAGACTTCTGTATGCTGATTAACTTCCAAATCTATATTTCCATTATGTAAACTCTAGATATCATCTCATTGGCACCTCAACCTCTGCTGTCTAAAGAACCAAACTATGTACCCCAACTACTTCCTCACCTATGTATATACACTGGTTTATCTTTAACCTTGAAAGTGCCTTTTAAGGGGCTGGGGAGATGGCTCAGTGGAATAAGCGCTTCCCTGGCAAGCGCAAGGGCCTGAGTTCAATCCCCAGTTCCGCAAATAAATAAATAATAAAATAAAATAGTACTTTGGGCTGGGGAGATGGCTCAGTGGTCTAAAGCACCTACTTAAAAAACAGGCTCAGCAAAGCATCAGGGACCGCGGTTCAGTCCCCCAGCGCCACATGCCAGCCAGCCCCGCCCCCTGGTGGGCTGAGCTGGCCACACACACACACACACAC